AAAAAAAAAGAAAAGAAAATAATTGCTCATGATCCTGAACCAGGCTGGGCTGGAAACAGCATCGCTCAGGTCCATCACGAAGTATATTATCAATGAACTTCACCATTTACGGAAGATCCCACGTTGCCCTCTGCAATGTCCTTGTTGGAGCCACTGGCTCCCCTGACTGAGCGCAAAAGAAAGTTTCTAACTCTTAGGGTCTCACAGTGAGGCTCCAGGGTTCTAAAAATCTTCTGTTTCAGAAGGAAGAGGCTTTGGATGCGTAGATTTCTAAATAAGAGGACATTGCCCAATCTGTTGAGATAACAACATTTTGTGATGAAGTAGAATTGTTCACATAAATAACAGTCTGAGATTTTCCAAAGGAATTTGTCTTTGGGGGTAAACGTGCTGTGACAGAGTTTTTGGAACCATAGTGAACCCTGGGTGTGTGCAGGGTTGAAGCAAATGGAAGTTTTCAAAGGCAAAAACGAGGTGGACTGCAGCTCCATGGAGAGGTGGCTCGTTCAGTAGCGTGCGTGCCCTGAAAGACTGAAGACCTGAATTTGGTCCCCAGAACCCACACAGAAAGCTGAGCCTGGTGACGTGCAGAGACAGAGACACGGGGAGCTCTGGGACTCAGTTGTCAGCCGCAGGCCCACTGGTTAGAGACCCTGTCCCAAAAAAATAATGCTGGGCAGTGCCAGAGGACCCGCACTAGAGTTTATAATTTGGCCTTTGCATCCATGTGTACATGTGCAGAAATTCCTCCCCCACAGGACCCCCACAGACATAGAGATGCATTCACGTACATTTACATGTGCATGTACACACTCACGATTTTGCATCCATACGAAAGGATGTGTTTCTCCGAGTAGATCCCTGACGGCTCTCAGCAGATGTCTTTGCGGGGTGTGCTCTGTGTACAGTTGCTGAGGCTTCTCTGCCGGAGCGTGTAGCTCTGAGTGTCCTGGGATAGGTTTAGTCAGGCAGTCATGTCTGCAGACCTGCCCCTCATCCCTTGTAGGCTTTATTGACATGCATTTGATGGAGTTGACACAATTGACCCCATGCTCATCGCAACAGTTTTCACAGATGGAGTCTGCTGTAAAAGAAATACTCTGCACTTTCCCAACTCATGTAAATGCCTCTTGGAATCATTTCAAACAGATAAGTGGATGCTTAGAGTCCACGGATAGGAATGAGAATGTTACTGTGTTTGTAATTAGCTAGAAACTTCTTCTTTCAAAACTACACTTAAAAGGTGTAAGAGATAGTGAGGTTTCAGAGTCTCACAAAGAGGGGCTGGGGAGATGGCGCAGTGGTTAGAGCACTGGCTGCTCTTACAGAGGACTGGGTTCAGTTCCCAGCACCCACATGGTGGCTAACAACCATCTGAGACTCCTGCTCTAGGGGATCTGATGCCCCCCTGATGCCTCTGCAGGCACTGCACAAACACGGTACACTCACATACATGCAGGCAAAAGACTCATACACAAAAAATAAGAATAAATAAATCAAAATAATTTCGAAACAAATTCTTACAACAAAGAGTTCTGAACTGCAGTGCACCTTTCTTTTGGACTGGGGAGGAGGGGAGGAGAGAGGGAGCGAGAGGTAAGGCTTTGTTTCTAGATATTTTTTATTTTAATTAATTAATAATTAATTAGTTTATTTTTTGGTCTTTTTGAAACAGGGTCTCTGCAGCCTCAGCTGTCCTGGAACTCACTATGTGGACCAGGCTGGCCTCAAACTCACAGAGATCCACCTGCCTCTGCCTCCCGAGTGCTGGGATTACAGGAGTGCACCACCATGCCCGGCTGTTTCTAACTATTTTGTTCTCAGGTATTTTTTGTGTTTTTAATTCTGTACAGACTGTAAGTGATCTCACCAATGCTGAATTTCCCTTCTCTCCACAGACATGGTCCGAAATGCCTTCACAAATGCTTCATCAAACAATTTTAATGATTTTTTTAACCTCCACAGCGCAGCCAAGGTAACACGATTGTGTGTTATTTTAAAAAGAATAATAGTGGGACAGTAGAAAACATTTCTTGGTTTGGGGCCTTTTCAACTTTCTTGTGTATATTCAGAGAAGCAAAGACTCAAGCTTACATTTGAACTGTCCGGATGCTGCTGCCAGCAGCTGGTTAAAGCTGAGATGAGGAAGGGAGGAGGGAGGGGAAGAGGAGGATGAATTCAGAGATGAGATGCTGAGATTCACAGGCCCAGAGCATCCTGTTGGGGAGCAGCATGGTCCCATGTAGAGGAAGTGGCTCCATTGCAGACAGTCCTCAGGAAAGACCCTTTCCTGCATTTCTTGATGAATGTTTACTTGGGACCCAGCACCCGACAAGGACAACTTAGCAGAGGGTTTATCTAGGCTCACAATCCATCATGGCAGAGGAGGCATTGTATCATTCTGTCCGGAATCCCAATCCATGAGAGAGCGCTGAGCACATTAGGATGGCACTTCCCATCCCTGTCAAAAACACTGTCAAAGACATACCCAGATTAGTCCCCAGGTGATTCAATGTCCAGTGAAGGTGGCAGTGTAACTGTCCCTGCAGAGATGGCTTACCCCTGACTCTGGCCTCTCTGGGGTCCTACCCTCAGCTTGAAGGGGGAGCAAAGTATGGATGAGCCTAGCAAGGGGGTGCAGGGGCTGCCTCCAGGTGGCGGCCGGCCGTTCTCATCCCCATGGGGTGACTGACCCCTGATGCTTGTGACCAAATCGAGTAGCATCCTATGCTTTTATTCTGTAACGTGTTTCCGGACTACTGTTTTCTTGTGCTTCTCTTTCCCCACAGTCCAAAATTGAGGACATCAGATCAGAACAGGAAAGGGAGGCGGAGAGGTCGATCCGACTTCACTTCCAGATGGAGCAGATCGTGTACTGCCAGGATCAGGTTTACAAGGAGGTGTTGCAGCAGGTCAGAGAGAAGGACGCTAAGGCCAAGGAAGATAATAAGAACAGAATGTCATTTGTACATGTGTTCCCATCTGCCCCTCCTCCACAGGACCTGTCCATCTCTGAAATGATCCAACACCAGAACACCTACTACCAAGTAAGTGTGCAAACAGCTCTTAACTGGGCTGCTGGGCCGTCCTTCTCCGTCACTGTGCCTTGCTGTGTAGGTGTGTCTGTGAGCTGGCTGCCAGTGATTCCCGATGTGTTAAGTCAGCTTTGTGACAATGGGACCTTGAGAGAGGCTGGAGACTGTGGCAATTGACTTCCCTCAGGCAGCTAACTCAGGCTCTGCCTGTCCTTGGCCAGCCCCACCTCCCTCCCACTGAGAGGACTGAGGCTGGGGAGGTGAGCAGTGCTCTCAGCCAAGGACCAGCCATCTGGAAATGGAGCCGTGTGTGCATGGACCATTTCAGCGTACTTACCCTTTTCCATGGAGGGGGCATTTGATGGTCAGGGAAGCTGGTGGGACAGAGTCCTGACAACCTGATTCCTACCTGGGTCATGCTCTGCCAGGACACTAAGGGGGCTGGGACCAGTCCAGTTTATATACCTCCTATGGTCTCCCTCGAAGTTTGGGTCCTGCTTGATAGTCCCGTGAGCACCATCCCTGTACTTTCGACCCTTATATGACCTGCTTCTCTTCCTTCCAGGAGTCCAGAAGGAGCATTGGGAGATACGTCCCCTTGATCATCCAGTACTTTGTCCTGCAGATGTTTGGTGAGAAGCTGGAAAAGGCCATGCTTCAGCTCCTGCAGGACAAGGAAGCCTGCAGCTGGCTCCTGGCCGAGTGCAGTGACACCCGAGAAAAGAGGAAGTTCCTGAAGAGGCGGCTTGCACGGCTGGCCCAGGCTCAGCACCAGCTTGCCAAATTCCCGAATGAATCAGGCTTTCCATCCTGTCTTGTATGACCATAGTATGACCATAGCATAGACCAAGGAATGGAGCCCACATGCTTTCAACAGAGCTGCACCGTGATCCTTTAGATGCTTAGCTGATAGCCACATGTACCAGACAGGAAGTGAAGAGACTATGTGATAGTGTTCCCATGGCTTTAAAATACATGTTTGGTGAATTAAACTGAACTTTGAGCATGTGTGCCTGGAGACCCTGTGTCTCAGGAGAAAGTTTATGCAAGAGTGCCTGCTGGGGAGGTATATCCGGAATGCCGGTGCTCCCATAGTGTCTCAGGAGACATTTTGAGCTCCCAAGAAGACATACTATGGAGATGATGTGGTCTTGCTGGTCTTATGTTGCTGAATTGTTATATTCTAGGCATTGTATTGTTGTTCAGTGTTCTGTAAACATTTGACTGTGGTTCTTAGAAGTGTGGGAATAAAAGCAGAGCAGCCTGTGCTTTTGGCACTCTGTGTGTGTGTGTGTGTGTATGTGTGGTGTGTGTGTGCGTGTGTGTGTGTGTGTGTGTGTGTGTGTGTGTAGAAGTCATACATGTCCCCTGGTTTTTGATTCAGTTCTGTTCAGGTCCTGTGGCTGCCCCCTCTGGAGGCCACAAAGGAGGCCGGCTCTCTGCTAACCCTGAGAGGCTGAGGACTAGGAAGGGGAAGGAGTTCTGGGGCGCAATTCCCCTTCCAGTAGTAAGCCACTGGCCCTCTCGAAGGACAGGAGGCAGGTGGGTGGAGGGTGCCACCTTCCTGGTGGGACGGTGGCTTCACTCAGGACAATACACACACACACAAACAGATGTTATGAATTTAACCTGTTGTTTGCAACATAATGGGATAATTTGTTGTTTCCTACAAGTACACACATGCACACGCACACACACACATGCACACAATGTGCACACGCACATACACGCACACGCGCACACACACTCCCCCCACATGCACGCACTCACACGCACACACACGCGCACACATGCACGCATGTACACATGCACACACACCCACACACGTGCGCACACACGTGCACACATACACACCCGCCCCATACACACACATTCTTTATTCTGGGCCAAGGCCGAGGAAGCTGTGTGTCTAGGTCACAAGAGGAGCCCAAGGCTTAGTAAGCTCGTCTACCTTCTAAACAACCTGAGACGGTGTTAAATGATCTCAAAACCTAGGAATAACTTTTGGTTAAAAGGTTAGGTAAAAGTCATTCCCATAGGGACTCATTAGTTTCTTGTCTGATACTGTGATAAAATACTCTGACTCACTAGAGAGAAAAGGTTTATTTTGGCTATGGTTCGAGGGGAAAGAATCCATTAAGGAGATGACAGGATGTCCCAGGACCACCCATTAGGTGTAAGTTCATCGTAAGCCATGCTAAAGTGATACATGGAATAATTAGTGTATCAATGAGGTGGTGAACTTTTCTTTCGTGCCCACAATCCCTGCCCACTGATGCAGTCACTAACTGGACTGCAGATCTGCTCATTTTTCTGAAGAATTTGGAAAAGCACAGCATCCCTATTTCTTCTGTCTATGTGTTTTCTGAGCACGCTTTCCCTAACACTTTGGGCTGCCCCAACATTTGGGGTTCCTTTACTCTTTTTCTAAAGCTCCTGTCCCAAGATGTGGGCTAGTCTGCCATGTGTCGGACCTCCTGTCAGTTCAAACATGCATAGGGCACGTTTTAGTCTGTTCTCTACCTGAGGGTAGCTGCTGAGATGTATAGCTCACCTACCTCAAGGATTTTCCTTTTTAAAAGAATAATTAATTAATTAATTTTTATTTTATGCATATGATTGTTTGCCTGAATATGTGTAAGTGCACCCGTGTCATGAAGTGCCTGTGGAGGTCAGAAGAGGGCATTGGATCCCTTGGAACTGGAGTTATGGACAATTAGCTATCATGTGGGTGCTGGGATTTGAACCTGGGTCCTCTGTAAGAGCAGCCAGTGCTCTTAACTGCTGAGCCATCTCTCCAGCCCCTTTTTTATTATTTTTATTTTATGTGTATGAGTATATTGCTTGTATGTATGCAGGTGCATCCGTGTCCTGCAATGCCTGTGGAGGGCAGAAGAGGCTGTCGGATCCCCTGGAACTGGAATCCCGTTTTCCCTGTATGGTCCACTGAGCAGAAAGGGACATCAACATTTCATAGCAGTATCATGATCATACACTGGAAGTCTTGACCTGAGCCATCCACCCTCTAAGGCTCACCCTCCTTTGCCCAAGTCTGTCCCAGTGCCTTCGCCTCCCACACCAGGGAGTAAATGCATTTTCGGTGGTGGATGAAATGTCTTGGCCCACAGTCAGAACTGGGTGATCTGTAACTGTCAGTCTAGATTACGTTTTCCCCAACATTTCACTTGTGTTGCATTTTGGTGTCAGTAAATTTTTAACTTTGATTTTCCATTTTCAATCTTATAAAGACCATGGCATGTGGTTGAGATCACAGATCTGGTAATCAGACAAACTGTTTTATTTTAAATTTCTGAGTGTTCTAAGAGGAAGACAACTCTGGAGGTCTGACCTCTGGTGCTATCCACTTAAAATTTTTTGTATTATTAGTTTAAAATTTTTTATGTCTCTGCATGTAAGTGCACCATGTGCATACAATGCCCACAGAGGCCAGAGGAGGGTGTTGGAAACTCCGGAACTGGAGGTAGAGATGGTCAGTAGTTGCCTTGTGGGTGCTGGGAATTGAAACTAGGTGCTCCTAACCACTGAGCCATCTTTCTGGCCCCTACCTCCAGTGTTTGAGAAAGGATCTCTCAGTGGCCTGGAATGTCACCACATAGTCCAGAGAGCTGGTCTCATGCTCTCAGGGGATCTGTGTCCTCACTTCCCGCCTTTCCTTCACTGGGTAGCTAGCAGGGGTGCACCACTGTGCCTGGCTCTTCACGTGGGTCCTGGAGGATCTGGGCTCAGATCCTCACACTTGCACACTGAGCCATCTCCCTAGCAGCCCAAACTGTACCATACTACTGACAGCACAAACGAAGAAACCTTGAGGCATGGATCTGTGCCTCAGTTTCCCTCCCTCAGTGCTGGCCAGACAGACATGTCCAGAGAGTGTTCAAAGAGAGAACTTGGTCTAAAGATCTAGAGCGACCTGGGGAGGATGCTGGCCTCTTTTTCCAGGCTGCTTAAGCATAGTTGAAGGATGCACATTTGATACAAGCTGCTTGTGCCTGGCTTGGGGGCGCACGCCTTTAATCCCAGCACTAGGGAGGCAGAGGCATTCAAGCCCAGCCTGGTCTACATGGCGAGTTCCAGGCCAGCTGGGGCTACAGGGAGACCCTGTCTCAAAAAGACCACACACAAACAGCTGTTTGTGAAAGCTAGATTTAAAAAGAACCAAGAACACAAAGTTTTCCAATAGCCCCACCTAGTGACAGACATGTGAAATTACATCTGCAAAGCCACCCACATTGAGGGATGGCAAAGTGGGATCCACCATGAGTGTAACTTACAAAACCACACTGAGGGGCTGGAGAGATGGCTCAGCGGTTAAGAGCACTAACTACCCTTGCAGGGGGTCCGGGTTCGATTCCCAGCACCCACATGGCGGCCATGAACTGTCCTTAACTCCAGTTCCAGGGGAATCCAAAGTCCTCTTCTGACCTCCGCAGCATTGCACAACATGGGTGCACGCCCATACATGTAGGCAATACTCTCGTATACATAAATAAAAATACTTTTAAAAAACAAAAACTGAACAAAACCACACTGAACTGGAAGTGTCTATCCCCTGGTGTCTCCCCACCAATCACTGCTTCTCCTTTTCATGAGGCTTTTGCTCTTGAGACAGGGTCTCACTTTGTAGCCTGGGTTGGCCCGGAACTCACATTCCTCTGCCTCTTTTTCCCCAGTGCTGGGGTTGGAGGACGGTGCCATTGTACTGACTCTAATGTCTGAATGCATTGAAATACTCCTATGGGTATTGGTAAATAAAAAGTTTAGTCGTTGAAGGGGGCTGGAGAGATGGTTCAGCGGTTAAGAGCACTGGCTGCTCTTGCAGAGGACCTGGGTTTGATTCCCAGCACCCAAATGGCGGCTAACAACCACCTGTAACCTCCCCGGACACCCTCTTCTGGCCTCTCTGGGCACTGAACACACATGGTGCACTTATATATACCTGCCTGCAAAACATTCATGCGCATAAAATAAAAATATATAAAAAGTCATTGAAGAGCCTATTTTTCAGTACATGTGTGTAGGGGTAGTGTATGTAGACACATGTAGTATCTATGTGTATATGTGCGCTCAGGTGTGCTCACCTGTTTGTGTGTGGCCAGAGGTCAACCTGGGGTATTCTTCTCTATTGATCTCCATCTTAATCTTTCAGACATCTCTCCTCCACCTGGCGCTCTCTGTTTTGGTGAGACTAGCTGAGACCGGTTGTCCAGCAAGCCCAGGCACCTGCCTGTCCATGCCCCCCAACAGCACTGGGGTTACAGATGTGTGTTGCCAATCTGGCTTTTTACATGGGTACTAGGGATCCAAACTCAGTCCTCCTGCTTTCATAGGAACACTGAGCCATTTCCCTAACTTTTAAAGGGCTTGTATTCAAAACGAAATCTCAGTTTTTGGACGACTTCCTTTTCCTTTGGTTTACTGAGTATTCAGTCTGTGTCTGAGAGGGGATCTCTAGATGCTGAACCACTATTCCATATCCTCACTGTACAAATGGTGGGTGATGCCCCAGGTTTGGCGGGGGGCTTGGCTCAGGACAAAGATGGCAGGGCTGCAGAGCAGAGGAAGAGCCTGGCCTCCGAGGCAACTGAGCTGGGGGCCATCCCAGGGAAAGCCCTCTCTCTCTGGCTGTGCATCCCAAGCACATGCCTTGTAGCCGGCTTTCAGATGCAACGCGGCTGCTGCTCTCCCCCATGTTCCACTCCTTAACTGTTCAGCCCAGGGCTCTCCCCACTTAACCTTCCCAGGATACCACACGTTAGGGGTGAAAACAGACTGATATGTGACCTGGAGTAATTCCAGAGGTGTGACCCAAGTGGCGTAGGTTAAAGAAGCATTTCTGAATCCAACCAGTAGGAAGTGCCATTTATTCAAATTAATTAAGCCAGCTCGTCTTATTTCCATTTCAGTGGTGAAAGCACACAAGCACAAAGATAAGACTATTTTAGAAAACTCCAGTCTGGAGAACCAACAATTGTTTGGGTGTCTGTCGGTAGCCATGTCTAAGTGAAACAAATGCCTGTTCCAGACTTCATTCTAATCTCAACCTAAGTTGAAATTAATTCGGTGTACTGGAAACAGAGGGAGGGACATTCCAAAATGAGATGCCAGGTAACCTTAAGCATTTTCAGAAACACAAGTTACACTTAAAAATCATGTATGAAAATATGAAAAAATTAGTTATACATAGAATACATTTTGCAAAGCTATGCTTTCGGCCCCTTTTGAGAATTCAATACACATCTTGGGCATTTCTACTAGA